CAATGGCATATGCAATGCAATAATGGGCTTACACCTACATGAGAGAGCCTCAGCCACACTCACATAAGAGGCCGGTGGATGAAAATGAAGTGCCTCGAAATGCGTGCACACGGGCACGCAAACCGAGGCAATGGTATATGCAATGCAATGGCATGGAAATGGCATATAGAATGCAACATGGACGTATACTAACATGAGAGAGCCTCAGCCACACTCACATAAGAGGCCGGTGGATGAAAATGAAGTGCCTCGAAATGCGTGCACACGGGCACGCAAACCGAGGCAATGGCATACGCAATGCAATATGGCATGAAAATATGATATGAAAACATGCTAATGGAATTTCAGCACTAAAATGTGGGGGAAAACAGCCCCGAAATGAGGCGAAAGGACACCCGATGCATGGAATTTCTCCCGAAATGCAAAATTAGGCACATAGAATGAACTACAGCTATACAAAGCATGCATGATTGATACATGGAATGAAAATACAGAAGCAAGGAAGCCCCAAAATGAGCATTTTACCAGTACAAATCATGGCCAATCAGCAAACACAGATAGGGCAACAATGGCATGCAAAAATGGCCCTAAATATGAGGTTATGAAGCAACTCACAGCTGCTGACCTCAAACAGGTTAGGGCCCTTCAACAACATTGAAGAGGGGCCCAAAATAAGCACATTTACAGAACTGTAAAAACCCTAAAAACAAACATAGATATGGCTAAGCTCTTATGCAAGAAAAGGGGCCAAAAGGTGGCCAAAGAGGCAAGTGGTATATGCACAGCCCAAACTGAAAAATGCCCTTCTACATCATTGAAGAGGGACCAAAAATATACATATTTACAGTTTATGGAAGCCCCAAAATCAGTATACAAACATGCTAGAAATGCAATGCAAAATGAGGCTCAAAAGTGGCTATAACACAAAGTATACAAAATATTCATCAAACAGCCAAAGACCCTTAATGAAACATGAAGAATAGGCCAAAATAAGACTATCTTCAGTTCTGTAAAATGACCAAAAATGGAAGCATAATGGGCTTCCAAAGCATGCAAAAATGGGACCCAAAAGAGAATATAAAGGCAAGTATATCATGGAGGTCCCAAAAAGTGTTGAGCCCTTCTTCAATGTTGAAGAGGGGCTCAAAATAAGCCTATTTTTAGTTCTGTAAAACGCCCAAAAATGGAAGCATAATGGGCTGCCAAAGCATGCAAGAAAATAGCATTCAAGGAAGGTATTGAAGCAAGTGCAAGGTGGGGGGCTCAAACAGGGTTGAGCCCTTAATAAAATAAGAAAATGAGCTCAAAAAAATGACCTTTTCAATTTTGGTCGGAGCTCAAATCAGTAAGCACGTATGGTTAAGAAATGTTGCAAAAATAAGCTCAAAAAGGGGGAAATGGCAACTCACCCTTGTAGACCAATCTTTGGTTGCTTCTTGGGCCAAGTTGCAGCACCTTTAGCCTCTGAGAAGCCCTCCTTGCTGCTGGAAATGGAGTGGTGGTGGTGGTGCTTGGTGGTGATGAAGGAATGGGGTAGAACTTAGGAGTTTTTGAGAAAATGAGAGAGATAGAGGGAGATTTGGATGCCTCTCCTTGAAGCAATTTTTTCTAACCTCTAATACCAATGATTGCAGTTGGTTATAAGGACCAAACGGAGGGGGAGCATGGAAGGAAAGGGTGGGGAAAAGGACCAAGGCTTTCCCCCACAAAATATCCCCCGGATACAGATGTTTCTGGGGAACAACAGCTATACAGCTGTAAAGTACCAATTGAGAGGATCATGGCCGGCCACCTTTTGGAGTTGCAGGTGGCCGGCCAGCCACCCCCCCTAGCCGGCCGGCTAGGGGTCAAAAAGGTCAACTTGCTTTAGTGGCCGGCCACCACAAAAAGGTGGCCTCCCAGGTCCCCTCATCACAACCCTGTGGTTCGAATTTGGAAACTCTAAAACAGGAGAGAGAGCAAGCCATTTTTAAGAGGGGTTCGAAAGGGTCAAATGGAGTTTCTGGCCGGCCAAATAATATTAGGATCCTCCCATGTGTGTACAACACAAATATGTGGTTTGGGGTTGAAGAAAGTGGCCCCAAGGTGTTCACACTGGCTTGGAAATGAGAAAAACGGGTGCCGGAGGGCGAAAATGGAATATAACTGGTTGCCAAGATAATTGCTGGCCTCCCACCCTTCAGTGACCTTCCTGGTGATGAAACAGAGGCACCTGCTAGAAATAAACGAAAACTGATGCAAAACGAATGCTCGGGGGCCAAAACACACAGTTCGGGGTCCCGAAAACGGGCTGTTAAGCACCGAAAGTGGCATTCGGCCATGAAGTGGGTTTCTCAGACCCCAGTGTCCCTCAAAAGGGAGTAAAAAGGAAGTATGCCAAAAATCAGAACAAACGGAGATGGTTAGGCGGTCCCGAACCGAGGCACACGGCCAACGGTCCCGAAAAATCGGAAACCGGACTCCGAAATGGGCAAAATGGCCTATAGCCACAAAATGTAGCCCACGGCCACTGAGAGATGGTCTATGGGACCTCTCCCTCCCCTCAGGAAAAGAAACAGAGAAAACCGAGTCTGGTTCGCAAACCGAGGCAAGGCACAGAAGAAGGTTCGGAAATCCGGAGGCAGGGCTCACGGCCGCGACTCTGAGACTTCTGAACGAGCACATTATGCAACATCACCAAGCGCTCAATCGGTGACGTCTGAGTCTTAAGGTTGGTCAAAAATGGGGTGTCTACAATTGTCCACAAATTTCAACAAGTGTTAA